GCATATAAATTTGCCTCATATAATATTAATATCATTGGCATTAAATTCAAATTAATAAATTAGTATTAAAAATGCGATGTCTATTCTTTGAATTATAAATATACTATTTACTCATCCTATATCTTAGTATTAATAGTATTTATAGTTATCGCATGCCCACCCGCCATTAATTCTAAACTTGGCAATTTCTGGAACTTGAAAACATTTTTCTGTGAAATAATTGCATTTAATATATTTATTATTATTATCATTTTCAAACAAGATGTTGACAGTGTTTAGTTGCTCTTGTTTAGTTTCGGCCGACAGTTGCATTAACGAGTACTTAAATATAATTGTGTTTCACAATCATGACGTCTGTTTCAAAAAAAGACCACACGGAAAAATTAATATTGGTTGTCCAAAAACATCCGATAATGAATGATATAACATTGCCAGAATATAGAGACACCAGAAAAAAGGATCACTTGTGGGACACTGTGATAAGTAATGAAATGAATGGAGAAAACGGTAATATTATGGAAATATTATATTACTATTTTGAATTTCATTTTATTTTAATTAACTTTATAATATATACTTAGCTGTACGTAATAAAGTATAATGATTATACTCACCTACCTATATATATATATATGAATATATATCATTTTTAAATTGTTATACATTTTATAAGTGCAGTACGTACGTGTATAATTTTTTGAAACATTAAACATGATTTTTACATTTAGTTAGTAATATTTTAAGAGTTAAAAAAATGTACAAATTTTTCCCGTATGCGTAAAGATTCATTAGTTCCTCTTCTATTGTTGTCTTCAATCTGACTAAAGCCTGCGCTTGACTCATCTTCGTCCGAGGTTATATCTACATCACTATTGTTCACGCGAAGATAGTTGTGGCAGTTGTGCAATATACATGTTGCTAAGACAATTTTTTTTGTAGTCTATTGGTCCTTTGTAAACCCTCCATTTTTTTGTTAGAATGCCGAAAGCATTTTCAACCACACGCCTTGCACGGCATAGTCTATATAATTATAATTGTCCAGTCTCGTATCACTTCTTGATAGTCTCCGCGGAAAGTGCTGCATTATATATGATTTTAGAGCAAATGCCTCATCTCCAATTAAAACCATTGGCGTATCTACCTTTGGCCAGGCAATGGTGCATTTTGTATTACATTTAGTGTACCAGCTTCTAGTCGTTTGCCCATTGACGACTCCTCTAGAATACCACCATCTGAATTTCGACCATATCCACAAACGTCAATGCAAATAAATTTATAGTCTGGATCGACTATATCCACTAAAACAATTTAAAATTTTTTTAGATAGTAAAAATTTCTGGATCCACTGTTATTAGGAGATCTTATAGTGACATGTTTCCCATCAATATTACCTATACAATTGGGGAATTGCCATTTTTCGTAAAAACCTCGTGCATATTCTTCCCAAATGTTCGTGGTAGGTTTAGGCATAAACATTGGTACCATAACTTCAATAATAGACTCGCTGACCTCTGTGACAATATTACTAACAGTAGAATACCCAACACGAAAACTATGACCTATTGTCGAAAACGAGTGACCAGTGGCAAAATATCTAAAAAAACTAAAAATTGAATAAGATATGTTTTAAAGTTAAATATTAGATAGATAAATAATAAAAAGTAAAATATTTATTGTATTTATAAGAATATTCATTTTTTTTAAAATTTATATGGTTGTGTTAAGAAAAACTTTAAAAACAAAGTGGAAAAGTTTAAGAGATAATAACCAAAAACATTTAAGAGCAAATAAGACAACTACTGGCCAAGCTGCAGGTGCTACAAAAGGAAAGCACTTGAATACATACAAATATTGGGCCTGGGAAAATTATTTGGAGTATTTAAAACCACATTTGAGTTTCGCTATGTATGTATTTCTATAAATAAATGAATATTTTTAAAAAGAAAAACTTTAACTAGGTATTAAATTAATTGTACGTTGTTTGTGATAAATAGGACTATGATTTATATGTGTTTATGTGTTTAAAATACAAACATTTAATATAATATTTATTTATACGACCAAAATATGTAATATGAAAATATTGTCTTAAAAATTAAAAATTATTATAAATTATTATATAAAAAATTGATACAAATGTGTTAAGACTTAAAAACGAACTTTTTATTAATCAATTTGATCACAATATTGCGGACCACCTAACTGCACTTTAAAATGTTCTGTTACACATGCAGATAATAAATAAAATAATACTAATAAGTAATTATGATAAAACAAAACATAATATATGTAAATTATTTTTAAAAATAGTTTATAATTTAAATAATAATATTTAGATAATATAATTTTTAGCACAATGTCTAATATTCCAGTAGTAGATTCCGAAGAAAGGCTAGACATACAGGACAGTATTTATGAACACGTAGAAAGCAATGAAAAAATTCTAGAAGAAAGCAATGAAAAAATTCCAGAAAGAAAAAAAATATCACTGGAACGAAAAAAAGTTGATGTACCAATAGAATCTAATGTCGATAAAGTGTTAGAACATTTGAATAAAAAACAAAAGATACCACTTGATTCAGTCGAAATGCTTATGTTAAGCCAATTAAAACTTTTTTTCCGAGACGACAAGCCATAGAAAAAAAAAATATTACAGAAATTGTTACAAATTTGGAATTGGAACAGATTGAAGAAAATGAATACCGTCAATATTATCAATCATCTTCACAAACATACCAGCCTACAGATGATGTGTAGTCATACCGGCCTACAGATGACGTGAAAACATACCAGCCTACAGGTGATGTAATTAATTTGTCAACTGCAGACCGTGCTAGTAATTATAATATACATAAATTATAATGTATGATTAAAGTGCCATAAAAACTAAAATTGTTAAATTCAAGTATACATTTAAATTAATTAAATTAAACTTATCAAATTTTCTACCCCTAGCTACTTTTTAATTGCACTATAATATGTTAAGTGAAATATAATAATTTGGTTTCGTAAAATAAAGTTATAATATTACAAAATCATATCTTAGTGAAATCGCTAGCCCTTCCGATGGTGGCATTGGATTACGAAAGTTTGTTGGCATTTTTTGAATATCATCGATAATCCATCCCAAAATTTGATCAAAACACTCTGGAGTCATTCTAAAATATATGTGAAACCTTTCTGGGTCTTTTCTTAATTCAGGCATTAGAGTACAATGCTCGCCAGATACCTCTCGTTCCTTATTAATACTATAGACCCAATATTTTCTTTTTTTCTTCCTATAACAAAGTATATTTATTTAATTGTTTTAAATTACAATTATTATATAAAGGAAAAATACCTTTTACGTTCTTCATCATCTGCCACTATTGCTGCCTGCAAAAGTAATCTTCGGATTCTGATGATAAATATACGTCCATTGCATATTTGTACGTAGTAATGGATACACGAATATTATATGATTTAATTAAAACTTTTTTAACACGCGCCTTCGACAGTCGAACGTGGCATGAAATTATGGTATGGGTTCACATGTAAGCAATTACTGCTCTTATCACAAGATAAAATTAATGAATTATATATTTAGCCATTCAAACTCTATATATATTTACATAGGTATAATTTTATTATTACCTGTGGAGTTCTTAAATATTTATATATATTTAAATATTTACCTACAGCTTATAGTGATACTTGTTCCTCACCTGCTCCTCTTTCCATTTTTATTTTGGGTCAGTCAATGCAGTTATTATTATTCTAATATACTAGCTATATTAACTATATTATCGACTTCCTAATAACTTACATATCTAATACCCAATTTAGTTACAATATTGTGTTAAGGTTATCGGAAAAAACTTTAAAAACTTTAAACAACTTTAAACATTTAAAGCTTATAAAAAATCAGGCCACCGCCACCGCGGCAGTGTGTGTGGACTACGACGTCACCGCCACTTCGGCAGTGTGTGGGGACCTTTACTCAGGGCCATTGTGTAGTAGCGTAAGAGTAGTAGATAATAATATTACAATATGAGATGTGTATAACAGTTTTACACTACTCTGCATACAGTTCAATTGCTCTTCATATAAAAAAAAGGTGGCAAGATAGACAGGATTTGTGGAGCCACGAAACAGCCCCATAATTTGCAAACAACCATCTACGGGGGCGGAGCACGCGGGCGACGTCTATAGAAATCAATGATATGATATATATTTATATATTATAACAGTTTATTTTTCTAGTTTTTGCCATTTATCGTGTGTGGACGTTGAAAAGTAGTAGGCGATTGGCAGAAAGACCGCTGCGTGCAATGCGTACACGGAGCGTACACAGTCCGATGATCAAACTTGAAATCACGGCAATCATGTCGTAAAAAAATCACAAGTATTTAGAAATATTGCTATTGTTGTAATTACCTTTTAATTTTACAAATTTCCAACATGAGTATAATATTGAAAAATTATCTACTATCTATTTAATTCTCACAATATTTTTCATATCTTTCTTTTACACCTTGTATATTAGCTATCCCAAACAATGTAAGATGCGGGGGTCTCACAAGGCGTGAATCACGAATGTGAACCACTCCACGCCACAACATATAAAACTGACGGATACAGAAAGGATTATAGGTAGGTACTTAATAAATAAAAGGGTAAACAATTTTATTTAAAATTCAAATTTCCCGGAAAATTTAAAATGAATAGCATCCATATAAAATAATCATTGAAATATTGTAAATATTACTTAATCAATAAAAAAATAATTTATGCATTTTGTAATGTTAAACTTCGTTGTACATTATATGTTATACAAAAGTATATTAATATAAAAAAATATATAAACTGTATAAGTGGATTGTAAATAAAATGTATTGTGTGGAACGCTACAACGTCAATATATTCAAGTAGTGGTGAATACAAAATAATGTCAAAAAATAAAATTGTTTGAAAACAATTCGAAAGAAGTTTGAATCCCCCTTCATACAAAATATCAAGACTTAAAATCTAAATATCACTATTTTTCATATAATATTATAAAGTAAATTAAGACCCACGTATAAAATAACCATAGACATTTTTATACCACATAGTAGGTACATCAAACATAAGTAAATCACTAATTTACAGTTTTCTATTAATCGTATTAATTAATTAAACAACAAAATATGTCAGTATCGGTAATATGAAACTTATGAGTACAGAATATAGTATCATCGATTACCTATATTTAGTATTTTATTTATTTGTACGTATTAATATTTCAGTGTATTATAACATATTATAGAAATATATGTTTAGAAAATCTCGATTACAATTCTGTTCCTAAAGTTAAAGGAACAGTCTGACCAATAACTGGCATGACATATATGATATATATATTATATTCATAGTTACTACTCAATGTTATTGTTCTTATAATAGAAACGTGTAATTATACATGAGTTTTGAGTATTAAAAAATATTGTGATTTGTATTTTAAATAAATGTTGTAATATTGAAAAAAACAGACATTCAATATGCATATTATTGATATATGTTAATTTGTGGCAATCGGCTTAAAGCTCAACCAAATACCATTTTTCGGACTGACGATACTTCCAGGACCTCGTATGTTGAGTGGAATTTCTGTTTTTTCACACGGAAAGACTTCATATTTCAACAATATTTTTGATAGAACCAATTTCATTTCTAATTCCGCCAACCGTTTACCTATTCGAAAATCGTTATTAAAAAATAGTTTATAAAGGCATTAGGATGAAAAATGTTAACGGTGCACGTTAAAAGTACATAGTAAAGTGTACCTATGCACAATCTCGGCCCATCGCCAAACGGCAAGTAAGTGCCATTACGCCGTTTGGCTTTTTCTTCCGTCGAAAATCTTTCAGGATCGAAAGTATCGGGATCGGGGTAATATTTCGGGTCATTATGTATGGAGTACACTGGTATGGTGATCTTTTGTCCCTTTTCAATGACTAATGAGGTACCGGGTACTTGGTAATTCTTCGTCGCTCGTCTGAATATGATCATGGTGATGGCATACTTGCGCGAAATTTCTGAAATATAAATAATAATTTATTTGTATTGACTAGAAGTCAAGGTTTCACTATTGCATAATGAATCTAATTAGTTTAGTATATTCTATTGCATATTATTATATATGTGACGTATTATATAACCAGGTAGTCAGATACTCAGATGTCGTGTACTGTCCGCCCCCATGCGTGTGTGATACAATATTATTTACGTTATCTGTTGTGTTGTGTTCAATTATTCTCAAATGTTTTCTGTGTTAATTAAAGTGTGCGTGTCGTCTAATGTTTCTCTCGTTGTTGTACAGGCGGTACAGAAATTCCGTGTGTTACCATTAAAAGTGGCAGTTCTTTCAGTCTTTTGCTGCTTGTGGCAAAGCACTGTTGTCCTCTAAGTCTCCGTGCTACAGTTAAAATCACGTTTTTTCTGTCTTCTTGCGTTATGGTACGATCCTGAGTATCGTTCGCGCAACTATCGTTGCCATTCTTTAATTGTTTTCCCAAATTCTGGGTTTTTTTTTACTCCCCAGTGTCATTGTGAATAACGTGGTTTTGTTTTAGTTTTTGTTCTGCACACTGTGGAATGACATTGTGTATTTTGCGAATTCTTCGTCGCAGTACTGCTAGGTGGTCACACGTGGGCTGGTCATGAAATATCATATTGTTTGTATTTAGCGAGGGATGCAATCCACCGCTTAACGTATAGCCGGTTGGCGGTGAGTGTAGTCGATCAGTTGTGTATTGTGTTATTTATAGCCGACGGGCGTATACTTAAGTGAATTAATTCAATTATTATTATAACTATCTGACTATACCGTAATATAATTCTCGTGTATCATATAATATCTGTAAATCAATTAAACATCTTTAATAAACAATGTTTCGTATTTAATAATGACTCGTATATAAAAACGAGCAGAAGAAGATAGTGCCATTTAAGTTGCCTAACCTCAAGGCCAAGACGATGTACACACTAATATTGCAAGAAAACTTATCTTAGAGAAGGTCGAACTTAAGATAACAATTCTAATATTATTCGTATGCTATATCTAATCGTAATTCATATTCATTTAGTTATTTATCAAGTCGTTTGTTTATTATTGATGTGGGATGCCATTTACACTTCACCGTAGCGCTATACGGTATACAGAATATATTATGATTCCCCACATACCTACTGGTCTGTTGCAACTCATGAAAATAAAACAATTTGAAACTTAAGTATCGATATCGTGCTGCAATATACATTATTTACTACCTTCTAAAACCATATTCATGTAGTGGAGATTGATCAAAAAGTCGTTGTTCAACTCTCCACCGTTTTTCGCTTTTGCCATAACGATCTCTTCACGCAGTCTATCTTGGATATCTTTGTTTAATGCCAACTGGTACAAACAAAAGCATATTGTAATGGAAACAGTTTCGGCACCAGCGACAAACATCAGTACCGCGTTTCCGATTATGTCCATTTCGGTCCATTTATCTGTGAAATGAAATCAGATTTATAAAAATAATTTTATAATAATATGTTAATCATCGTTTATAGTGGTTCTATTACAAGTTTCAAAGCAAAAATTAGATAAATAGCGTTTTAAAAAAATATTCGTGATATGATTTATCATAAATATGAAATTTTAAACTGTAAATAATATACCTTCGGATGTCGGTTCGTCACCGTCGTTATTTTTCACCAAATCTTTTCTAGCTTGAATCAGGGTTTGAGTGACGTCGTTTCTGACGACGTTGTTCTTGTCCCTATACTCGAGGACGTCCCTGAACATAGATTCATAAAAGTTAGCGGCGTCCTCCGGAAACTGTTTCAGCTTAAGAGCTAAAGCCAGCTTTGGCGAAAACAGCAGCATAGCCTGGACAAAGAGCTGTTTGTAGTCCGCCTGGAATATTTTCTTGCCAAACATGCGGAAGTCCGTATTGCCGTTTTTGATCGTGTCTAGTTTCAGACCGAAAGCGGACATACCGATGACATCCGTCGAGAAGTTTCCAATCAACTCTCGTAGTTCGAAGTGATCGCTGACTTTCAGGTTTTCTTCGAAAACGTTCATTAGCTGGTCGATGCAGACCTTGATTTGGTCATGAGTGTCCTTCAGTTTTCCAGATGTGAATCCGGGACTGAGCTTCTGTCGCATTGTTCTCCACCGATCGCCATTCAACATGAAAAGGCTGCTGGCCATGAGGTTGACAGATGGGTCTGTATCAAAACCATGGTCGGTAAAGTATGAGAAGTCCTTAACCATCATGGCGTTGATCAGCTCCGGATCACGAATCATCAGGAATGGGGTGGTCATTTGATAGAAACCGCAAAGCTTCGCGTCCGGGAACTGGTTGTAAATACGACCGAAAAAGTCCAACGGGTGCTCCATTTTCAAGACCATTTTCATTGAGTTTCCAAACAGCGGCACGGGCTTTACGTAGGGCACGTTCAGTTTGCTCCATTTATCGTACGTGGACATCGTTAAGTAGTAGACGATCGATAGAAAGACTGCCATGCACAATAAGTTCACGGAGCTAAACAGTTCGATGGTCGAACACCACATCTCGGAAATCATGTCGCAACGAAATCACGTGAATCTGGAAACTTTATTGCTATTGTAATTATTGTTATTGTTTTAAAAAATATTGAGTTTTTCAAGACATCTACATGTGGATGTACATGGTCATGTGCGCAGTATTTACTGTTATTCGCCATGTTATATATGCAAGTAATTGAAATAGCTTTTGAAGTACTGTTTATTATCTATTATAATATGTATCGTTGAGCGGAAGGGGAAGTCAAGGTGAACGAGTGAAATATTATAATAAATATTTATTGTTGAAAACAACAACACCCGAAAATGGACCGTGGGTTCCATTGAGTACTTATGAATCGTGTGTTACAAAAATTCAAAAAGTACTTACTGACTAATTAAGTTGTGTAGTTCTCCAAAAAAAAAACCGCTATCTTGGGTTATATACAGGGTGTTCCAAATTTCATGTGACAGCAGATTTCAGCATGTTCTACTCAAATTAGGAAAAAATGACCTATGTGAAAACTTATTTGAATCACATACTCTAAACTAATTTGATATTAATTTTTTTTTTTATTAGTTAAAAGGGGGGGATTTTAGGGGTAACTTTTAAAATTCAAA